CCGGGCTTCCTGGAATCAGCTGCTGATCAGTTTCAGCAGCGGCTGACTTGGGGGCGCCTGGGGTTCTTAAGTTGAATCTGTATGTAAGTCAGAACTGGTGTCCAGATTCAGCCGCTGTTGAAACTGATCAGTTTCAGCAGCGGCTGAATCTGGATGCCAGTTCCGACTTACATACAGATTCAACTTAAGAACAAACCTACAGTCCCTATCTTGTACATAACCCGGGGACTGCCTGTATAGGAATAGCGGCTAAGCAGAACCTGATAGTTCACTATGCGGAGCTGCAGCCCTCCTCAGACAAAGGCCTTCCTACCCAGAAGGTCCATGTATTTTGCATCCCTGTTTTGGGGGGTTGGACCCAGCTGCCCCTGCCTCTCACGCTGATTCACTGCCTGGACAACCAGGGATCCTGGGGGTGGATGGGAGAACAGATGTTCATTCTCCCTCAGTAGCACAAACTAGCGTCTCTCTACCTTCTTATCAGTTGGTAGAATAGAGGCCGGGGTCTTCCAGTAGGTCTTCATAATCTTAACTAGTATTATTAAGAGGCAAGGCTACTCTGGTAGGGGTATCAGATTGCAGGGTATCAACTGTGAGGTCAGAGTCCTCCAACACTCTCACTGGCTGCACCTTCAGGCTTTGAGCCAGCCAGTGAAAGAGGCGCCACTGAGTCCATAGTAGACATCGATGGAGGGCCCTTCCCAGGGCCTCGTTCAGGGATGAGGATGAGGATCCCTTCAGACTGACATGTCACAGGTCTGAAGGCCGCCGAGGAGGGCACCGTTAAAGCCTGGGCCATGGGCAGACCACAGACTCCTGAAGCCATGGGCGAGGCTTGACTCAGGAGCAGGGACTGTCCCGACATAGGGGAGGGGACCAATGGGGTGGCTGAGGGAGGAGCCCTGGGCCTCAAATAGACTGACACCAGCCTAGGGGCCCCACACCATGTGAATGATGGTAGGCCCAGGGAATCCTTAAGGGCCACTGAATAGAGGTCTGCTCCTGCGGTGGCCAGGACTGCTGCACCGACTGGACAGGCTGGGCCACCTAGGACTGCTAGTGAGGTTACGCAGAAGGGCTTTGGTGCCAGGAGTATGACCGGTGCCGAGATCTAAACCTGGAAGCCCACATCGAGAAGATAGACTCGGCCTCTGAGTCAGTGGAGTACTCAGAGGTTGTCCAGGGCAGTGCTGTGGCCCTGGCACTTGGCAACCTGCAACTGGGAGCATGTCTAGCCATGGACTCAGGCTTCCTGCAGTGTTGAGGGGGAGGCGGTGGTATAGCAAGTCCTGATGGCTGGCACGATGATAGAGATGGTGCTGCATGCCCAGCCTGAGTTGGCGCCGATGCCATAGCAGTGCTGAAGCTTGAACAAATACCAGAGGTGGTGCTGGAGCCACTAGTGAAGGCAGTGCTGGTGGACCTGAGGTGTCTGTTCAGGGCCGGTGCCAAGGTGCTTGGTGCCGTAGGACTGGCACAGTGCTGCCATGAGGCACACTCCCTCCTCAGGTCTGACACCGAGACCGGGGATAAAGTGAGCTCAGTAAGGTCCCTCGCGGCCTAAAAGGGGTCTGGCGTCAACAGCTCTGGGAGATCTTCTACCAGGCTGAGGCCCTGCTGTGGGCTGAAGTGAAGTCAACCCAACCTCGAAGGTTCGGGTACTGAACCCGTTGGTGCCCTGTACCCCTCCTGAGGATGCACTGTCGGCATATGTTGCAACGGAGACCTGCCTCTACTCACTTTCTGCTTCTTCTGCAGCACCGGGATTGAGATTGGTGCTGTAGCCTTCTTGGCGCTAGAGAGGCCCGCAAGCGGCTGGGTGCCTCACACACCAAGGCCAATGTGCTCTTGGTGGCTGGTGCTAGATCTGACACTGGTGCCAGATGGAGAGCTGCCTCTACTAGGAGAATCTTCATGCAAGACTCCTGCTCCCGCTTGCTGAATGGCTTGAACCCTCTGCAAATCTTGCAGGACTCGAAAAGGTGGGAATCCCCAAGGAACTTTAAGCAGACTTTGTGGGGATCCCCACGATGCATAGTTTCAAGCACCTGATACAGAGCTTGCTTCATGCAGGGAATGAAAAGAGTCCCTATGCTGAAGTAAACTAATTACACTAAGAACTATTTACAGAAGATACTGAAACAATTAACAGGACCACTTTAAAAATCAAGTAGTTGAGAACTGCTAAGAGGTGCTTGCAAAGCAAAATCAGAGCACTTTCCAAAGACCATCACTAGAGGTAAGAAGGAACAGAGAGGGTGATGGGCCAGCAGGAGTATATATCAGCTGATATAACAGCACCATTCCAGGGGGCTCCCCTGCTGGCCCAACAGGTACTGCTAAAGGAAAATCTTTTGATGATGCAATGTGGAATGGACATGAGCAATGACTCAAAGAACAACAAGATATTATTCTGCAGAAATTTATCTTTACCATAGATAGATTTAACAAAGATACATTAGAATGGTAGCAAGTCCAGACAGAGATATTACAATGATAAAGGGATGTCACTATAATTTATTATTAAAATGTGAACATTTATTATATAGGAACTTGGTAATAACCACTATACATTTATTCAAACAAATTACAATAAATCATGACTCTTCAATGAATATAAAATGTATTTTTCTATAGCAACAATGGAATTAAGTATGAAGAAATGCTCATATGTCTTTTAACAAAATACCTTAATACAGTTTCCAGTATGCAAAAGCTTCTTCAAAACTGACCCTGAAATTTAAAAAAATGAAATAATAAAATATATCAATAATCTTGTAAAGCTCCCTGCTTGCATTTTCCCTAAAATAGACCTTTTTAACACTGCTAAAAGATACTGTGATTATTATTGACAATTAATTGCCTGTGGGCAATTAGCAATGCTGTAGCTAACATATCTTACCTTTTTAACAAAAAGATAAAAAAACTAAATTAAATGCATCTTTGAAATCTACTGTTTTACTCAGATGCCTCTCTCATTTTAAAATTATTACCAGCACACAACTGTTTACTTTGACCCACAAAATTTATAATTTAACATGTTTTTTTAAACTATTAACATTTCATGCCTATACTTCACATTGTGGTATACTGACTGGAAAATTGATTAGAAGAGTTTTGACATTTGAGGAAAGGAGAAGGATGGAAACAGGAAAATAAATAATACTTGAGAATAATTTGTGAGAAAAAATATGTACTAGGAAACCTGCAGATGTATGAACTAAGACTATAAACTGTTTAAAAATAATTTTGTATGAACCAAAATTAGACTACTTAGAAAATGTCAGTCAGCTAACATAAAATTCTTTGATGAACATTAGAGTAAATTTAAAACTACAGAATATAATTTGCTTAACTCTCAAAAATATCTCAGTAGAGACGTAACACATCTATGTTGCAAATATACACACATACACAGCACTATATAAATCCTACAGAACAAGATTTAACCATTTTGTAATACAAAAGTAAACCTACTGTCCTGATACATTTTCATCTTTGCTATGTTAGTACACAAGCACATTAAGAAGCTGTTTGTCAAAACAAACCATTTGTATGTACAAATACTATTTGTTTCTACATATTTGTATGTACATATAAATGTGCCCATTGATTGAAGCTGGCTAAATATTTCTCCAATTAGGGCTTTTTCACTGAAATCAAAACAATATAATAGTTACAAAATGTAACTACTGTAACCCCAATTTATGCTGCTCAAAGTCACAGGAAATTGTAACAAAAAAGTTCAAGGAGATGTCTCCTTTTATTTTTGAATGTGCTAACTGGAAATTTGACAACAGCCCTTTCCTTGACCTTTCATTTCCACCCATTATTTCTGCTGCCATCACAAATTCATTGCTCAGCTAGAAAACATACTGGTTGATTAAACAGCAAAATCAATGTTGAAATCCTAAATAAAGAATGATGCTTTTAAAAAGCACCATGTGTCCAAATTGTATTCAATAAACAGAACAGTAAATGTTCTGACCACTTTATTGCTATTCAAAAGTATAGTTTTTAATTTTCACAGCAGTAAAAATTTAACAGTCAAATTAATTTACACGGACACCACCAGGTTAAAATATAAACAAGTCCTTTAGATTGTTAACCAAGTTAGATTATTAAAACTTGAAGAACTCTGAAAATTTAGTTTACTTTTCAGTATTTATGGTCTCTTTACTCTCTACTTAAAGTATCCAAGTCAATGAAATGACAATAGTCAAGTTTTGCTTTCTGGTTCTAATGCATTAGCAAAAGCCACAAAGTTTGACTTACAAATATTGCAGTTTAGAGCCCTGAACAACCTAAAACAACCATGTCTCTTCAAGCTCTGTGAATTATTCAGAAAAATTATTTCTGCCTCATTTAATTATTGGATTTTCCTTAGTACACAAGAGAGTAATACCCATTGGTTAATAAACATAAAAATATAGTGCAAACTATGATAAACATGTTAATGCTGAAAAATCAAGCACTCAAAAATTAGAAAATGCCTGAATTAAGCTTCCCTATGATACTTTAATTTGGCTACTCTGTGCATACATAGTTTGCTACACAGGCTTTAATTGCATGACCAATTTTTTCACAGAACCTCAGCCTCAATCAGTGCAGGGAATGGAGAGTACTCTGGGTATTAATGAAGGTTATAAAATAATAGACTAGGTGTTGATTAGATCCTTAACTCAAAGAAGTTTTGTTTTTCTTCATTTAAATCATTGATCTGAGGAGGAAGGTCTGGGGATGAGGGGTTCAGCACGCAGGCTGCCCCAAGGAGATAGGACAATCTCAGCCCTCTCTCACTACAGCAGCTTGGGGCCAGGTAAGAAGCACCTGTCCATGGTTGCTGCAGCAGGCACGACTGAGGGAGAAGAGCATATCCCCCAGCTGGGGGACAGACAGACAAGATGCACAAACACTCTGAAATATATAGTAGATACCTGTCTCTCTCTCTGGTTCTGTTCAATACCTTCATCAAGGATTTAGATATTGGCATAGAGTAGTGGTCCCCAACCTTTTGGGGCTGCCAAGCACCCGCGGGCGGCACCACACATGTGCCGCGCACCCAGGGGCGGCACCGCCATGCGCCCAGGGCCCAAGAATGGCTTGGGCCAGCCCTGATCACTAGGGCGGGCACCATGGCACCCACAGGCACCATGTTGGGGACCACTGGCATAGAGAGTACGATTATTAAGTTTGCAGATGATACCAAGCTGGGAGGGGTTGCAACTGCTTTGGAAGATAGGGTCATAATTCAAAATGATCTGGACAAACTGGAGACATGGTCTGAAGTAAATAGAATGAAGTTTAATAAGGACAAATAAAAGTGGTACTCCACTTACGAAGGAACAAGCCGTTTCATACATACAGAATGGGAAGTGACTGTGTAGGAAGGAGTACTGAAGAAAAGGATCTAGGAGTCATAGTGGATCACAAGCTAAATATAAGTCAACAGCCTGACACTGTTGCAAAAAAAGCAAACATGATTCTGGGAGGTATTAACAGGAGTGTTGTGAGCAAGACATGAGAAGGCATTCTTACGCTCTACTCTGTGCTGATTAGGCCTCAATTGCAGTATTGTGTCCAGTTCTGGGCACCACATGTCAAGAAAGATGTGGAGAAATTGGAGAAAATCCAGAGAAGAGCAACAAGAATGATGAAAGGTCTAGAGAACATGACCTATGAAGGAGGACTGAAAGAATTGGGCTTTAGTTTGGAAAGAAGACTGAGAGGGGACAGGATAGCGATTTTCAGGTATCTAAAAGGGTGTCACAAGGAAGGGGGAGAAAAATTGTTCTCCTTGGCCTCTGAGGCAAGGACAAGAAGTTTAAACTGCATCAAGGGAGGTTTAGGTTGGACATTAGGAAAAACTTCCTAACTGTCAGGGTTGTTAAACATTGGAATAAGTTGCCTAGAGAAACTGTGGAATCTCCATCTCTGGAGTTATTTAGAAGTAGCTTAGATAGAAATCTATCGGGGATGGTCTAGATGGTACTGGGTCCTTCTGTGAGGGCAGGGTACTGGACTCGATGACCTCTCGAGGTCTCTTCCAGTTCTCTACCACCTGCTGCCCCAGTGGGGTTATAGCTGTCCCTGTGCCCATCTCTGGCCACTTGCTCCCCCTCCCGTGGTCATTCTACAGTATAACTCATTCCTACTAGACTTCTTCCCTCCCATTTTATGAAAAAAAATTGAGTTCCAGACACAGCCCATTATCTTGGCACAACCAACCCCTTACCTTGCTTTATGTTATGATAAGAGGAAGCTGCATACCAAATTTGGTAGTCCTAGCTCTTATCATTTAGGAGGACAAAACATGTAGATAGTATCATGAGCTTTCGTGGGAAACAGCCCACTTCTTCAGATGACCGGAGTGTTGGATGTCTAGGACCAAAATAAATAGGAAAGACGGGAGGGGGGGTGTGGAAATACCAGATTATTTGTTATTTTTTCAGTTTACCTGTACAGACTAACTCAGCTACCCCCAACTTGAACAAAAAGGCTCAAAGACGGATGGAAATACATTTCTAAAACATGTATTAAAGAAAGAAAAGAAGAAAGATGAGGCTGCCTACTGTAAGGACCCTTGCTTCATTTGTGGCAGAAAGAAGAGGTTACTCTCCTTGGCGGCAACTAATGTTCTTTGAGATGAGTGGCTCGGGGGGGCGGGGGAAGAAGGGGTGCTACACAGCAGGTGTCATCCCAGCTCCTCAGAGCGGATTCTTCCCAGCAGTGCATTTGGGGCTGCGCACGCGTGGTGTGCGAGGTGCACAGTGCCGTCCGGTACTACCGCTCTTGGGCGGCCACATTCCCCCTCAAGTTCCTTCTCTATCTGGCGTGGTTGAAAATATTTTTTTTCTGGGTCCAAAGTAGCAGGGAAGTAGGGAGGTTAGTGGAGCACCCCCAGGAATGCTCATCTGAAAGAACGTCAGTTACCACCAAATTGAGTATCATCCTCTTCCTCCTCCTCCTCCAAGAGACAGAGATCCCTGGTGGGAGTGCTCCACAGCAGGTGCCTGCAAAGCAATTTGTCATATGGAAATAGGGACTTTGGATCAGGAAGGTAAGCTAGCTTTAGTATAGCCTTTGCTATTGTTGTTGAGTGAAGAGGGCCAGTGGAAAGTGCATAGTGGTCAGTGAAAATTTGTTTTGATGTCCATGTAGCAGCAGCACATATCTCATCAATGGGAACCTTCCTTGGGTAAGTGACCAAAGTGGTGACCGCTCTCGTGGAGTGTGCATGGACTGTGGTAGGTGGTGATAAATTATTCAAAGCATAGCACATTGTGATGCAGTCAGAGATCGAATGGGATAGTCTTTAAGAGGATATCTGATGCCCCTTGCTATGCTCCAAAATGGAGATAAAGAGTTTTAGGGCCTACCTAAAGGGTCCTGTTCTGTGGAGATAGAAGGAGAGTGCCCTGTGGACATCAAGCACATGCATCTGTGCCTCGAAGGGTTTGGCATAAGGCTTGGGAAAAAATACAAGTAAACATATTGTTTGATTAATATGGAAGGCAGAGTGTACTTTGGGTAAAAATCTCTGGATGTGTCCATAGAGAGATTTTGTCCTTAAAAAAAGATGGTGAATGGTGGGTCTGCCATTAGGGCAGCCATCTCTCTTACCCAACGTACTGATGTTTTTGCAACTAGGAATGCCATTTTGCGCATTAAGTGGAGAAGGGAGCATGTGCCCATAGGTTTGAATGGAGGTTTTTGAACATGGTTAGTACCAGATGTAGGTCCCACAGTGCTTGTGGAGCAGCAATGTCAGGATATAGCACATGTAGGCCTTTGAGGAAGCATTTAGTTGTGGGATGTGTGAAGACCGTGGTGTTGTCAATGGTCACGTGGAACGTTGTTACTGCTACAAGATGTACTCTAATTGAACTCATGAAAAAGTGGAATTCCTTGAGATGAGGTAAGTATTCAAGAGCTGCAGGTAGGAGGGCATCCTCCAGAAATACGTTACAGGAAGCAGCCCAATGTACAAAACGACACCAGCAAAGTTTGGATCTTTAGATGCACAGATTTATATCACTTGAGTTAACAGAATAACTAGTAGCAGTAACAGACGGTTATTCCCTATGTTGCTCATACACTAGAGGGGATAAGATACACGATGTCAGTGTGTTTCACAGCTGCTCGATGACAGCAGAAGAATGTTCAGATAGGGTTAGGTGTCATTCCATTGTGTAGGAGAACAGTCTCAAAATATTTATAGGCCTCTATGACCCCAACCTGTTTGTGTCTGTTCCCTTCTCTATTAATCTACTTCATCTCCGCTCTTTAACCACCTTTCCCTTTTCAGATCGCTACCCATCTTGGCTTCACCCCTCAATCCAATCTCTCCTCCCTCTGCTCCTGCTCCCTCCCTTACTCCTCCTATGCAAGTATTCCCTCAATCTCCCTCCCCTGGGCTGTCTCCCTCCCTCATCCATAAAAAATGCATGTTACTTGTTTTCTTCAGATGAGGTATGCTGAACAGCTTGTACCACAACACAGCCAGCTTGCAAAACAGGTATGACACTCTGATATCATGAATGTTATTTGTCACAAAATACAGCAAAACTCTCAGTCACACTGCAATCTCCACTGTATATTTTCAAGAACTTGATGTTGTGCAAGAGTTAACAAAGATCTGCTCTTTCTAAGAAGCATGACATTTCAAAACCATAATAGCAAATTAATTTCCACATTTTTCAATTCAGGTGTGTTGAAAAGTGCAACTTTTCTTTTTTCAGTTTCAAGTATTGGTTGAAAGAAAATAGACAGGCTTTCATATAAACAACAACATACTGGAGCTAGATTCTACTCTAAGCACAGATGACAATTCTCTAATTTTTGGACATCCTAATCCAGAAGTAGAGAGCCTTTTTTGGGTCAGAGGCCACTGACCCAAAGAAAAATCAGTCTGGGCCCATACAATAGTGAGGAGCAAAACAACCACAACCTAAAACCCCCAAAAAGCCCTCACTGAGGCAGCTCCCAACTGAGAAGGAGAAAGATTCCCCTTGCACAGCAGAGTCTTGGGGGGCCCAGGCTAGTAGATTTTGTATTCTCCAGCCCTGTGGAGGGATAGTAGGAAGGCTGGAATAGCAGTGCCATCTCCCCAATGCTGGAGGGGAGCCCTGAGCCTCAGGGGCCGGATCTAGGCAAGCTGGAGGCCGGGTCTTAGGTTCCCCACCCCGTCCTAATCCATTAATTGGTTTGTGGATTAAAATTACCTCTGAGTGTGTCATCTTGTGTGTTATTTTTTGCCTTTTAATGACTAGATCACAGATACTTTACTGCATTTCATCCAAGAATATCAAAGAATTCCTAAGTATCATTCTCATTTTACAGATGGGAAAACAGACACAGAGTGGTTAATCAATCTGCCCAACTTTCCAAAAGTCAGCAACTCTGATTAGCATTTTCCTTCTTTTATCACACTACTAAATACAAATGCTAAAGACATGAGTCTTATAATTCACTGTCTGTAGTGCCCAGGATTTTCACTATTGGAAAAAAAAATCCCTGGAAGTAAAAGCTACAACTATATAATAACCCTTTTGGCAAAAGAAGAAACTTGCTAGTCAAATACGCCCCCCTCGTCCAAAAAAATCAAGGGACATAGCTGAAGAACTTGCTTTGGCAGGACGAGAAAAGGGAACTGAGGATTGCAGATGAATGGAGCTTTTAAGAGCTGACGGTTCAAGAATTCTTAGCCCTGGGACTGGCACAGAAGTTCTTCCTATGCACTTTCTTACTACTATTAAATGGTTCTGCAGTTCATAGAGCATGATGTAAACTTACTTCTGTAGGGATCTGCAGGGCAATATATGTGGGACCGTAGCCCCACTGCAATTTTTATGACAAAGATGCCTTTTACAATTTCATTGAAAATGGCACTAATAACCAGCTTTTATTTGTGCTAATAGGAAAGTTTATAATAGTGAACTACCACATTTTATGCATGTATTTTAATACTGCCATGATGCTCAGGAAGCAGGCACCCTATGGAGAGAACAGGAGGGTTGAACTGCAAGTTGAATCTACTGATTACAATACATTACACTATACATTGAGTAAGGTCTTTTATAAAACACGTAATGTTCTGAACTTAATAGTTATTTAAGATATTAATACAGACTGAATTATGAATGTATTCATGAATAGCTATGCTCATAATTTTTGGAGCTGT